CCCGCGCCACCATTGAGCCGCTGCATATCCATGCCGGTGGATATCTCTGGTGGGTTGGAGGCTGGAGGAAGGAGATGGGGGTCCTGAGGTCCCCATCTTGGCCACCGATGACCCCCCCTGGTCCCCTCCCTCACCCATCCCAGGCATTCAGAAGGGTCCCCGCTCTGACTTCGACATGGCCTACGAGCGCGGCCGCATCTCAGTGTCGCTGCAGGAGGACAGCACCGGCGCCTTGGCCGCCTTCTCCCGGGTAAGGTTGGATCCGGCAACGCTGCGTCCACCTAAATCCTCCCCACCGGGGCCACCACGGATGGGTGTCGGAGGTGTCCCGTCCCCCCGCAGTCCGTCTCGCACGAGCCCAAGGAGCGCAAGTCGGTGACGGTGGAGGAGCAACCGTCGGGTGTCTACCACTACAACTACTGCGAGGACGAGTCGGCAGCAGGGGACTGTCCCTTCGGGCTCTACCAGGGTCGCCAGACCAGCGCCATCTTCGAGGCCGCCAAGCGGGAGCTGGTCAAACTCATGAAGGTGGAGGTGAGGGTAGAAACGGTGCCACCACGGGGGGATTGTGGCTTTTTTAGGGTCTTCTGTTGTGTTGAGGTGGGTTCCCATCGCTTCGTGGTGGTCCCCATAGCTTCGTGGTGGTACTTGGCATGTCGTGGTGGGTCTCCGTCGCCTCGTGGTGGGTCTCCATTGCCTCATGGTGGGTCCCCGTTGCCTCGTGGTGGTCCCCCATCACCTCATGGTGGTCACCCGTTGCTTCGTGTTGGTCCACCATCACTTTGTAGTGGTCCTTCTTGCTTCGTGGTGGTCCCTGTTGCTTCATGGTGGGTCTCCATGGTCTTGTGATGGTCCCCGTCACTTTGTGGTGGTCTCCATGGCCTCGAGGTTGACCCCCATCTCTTTGGGATGGTGGCCCATCTCCTTGTGGTGGTCTCCATCACTTCATGGTAGTCCCTATTGCCTTGAGGTGGTTTGCTGTCTCCTTGTGTTGGTCCCCTGTCACTTTGTGATGGGTTCCCATCTCCTCGTGGTGGTCCCTGTGGTCTCCTGGTGGCCCCCATCTCCTCATGATGGCCCCCGTCTCCTCATGGTGGCCCCCATCACCTCATGGGATGCCGTTCTTCCCTCTAGGACCCTTCTCTCCTCAACAACCGGGTCTTGCTCCATCACGCCAAAGCTGGAACTGTCATTGCCCGTCAAGGGGACCAGGTGGGTCTGGATTTCGGGGCGCTGGTGTGGCACCTGGCACCCCTCACCCCATATTTCAATGGGCTGCTACTCTTCCTACTCCTGCGCTATGGGTGATGAGGGGCAGGAATGATCCCCAGAACCCCCTGGTGGGTTCCAAACACCCCATGAAGAGGACCATAAGAAACCTCAAGCGGCGCTGGTGGGACACCTCGTGGCTGGAGGTCCCAGGTGGTCCCCCAACGGGGACAAAGGTGCCATTTTGGCAGGACGTGAGCCTCCCCTTCCGGCTGTGGGCTACCAGCGGATGATAGACAAGGCGGAGGACGTCTGCCTCTTCTTGACGCAACCCGGCGAGATGGTGGGACAACTGGCCGTGCTCACCGGCGAGCCCCTCATCTTCACCATCAAGGCCAACCGCGACTGCACCTTCCTCAAGATCTCCAAATCGGACTTCTATGAGTGAGTCCCGGCGTCGGCGGGGGAGGTTTGGGGGCAAAATGTTGGTGTCAAAAGGGGGATTCCTGGGTGGTGGCATCTCTTGGGGCCACCGCCGTGTCCCCCAACTGCTGTTGACCCATAGGATCATGCGGGAGCAGCCCAGCGTGGTGCTGAGCGTTGCCCACACCGTGGCTGCCCGGATGTCGCCCTTCGTGCGCCAGATGGACTTTGCCATTGACTGGATGGCGGTGGAGGCCGGGCGGGCGCTCTACAGGTTGGGTAACAACCGTTGGGTACCCACCTCAGCTTGGTGATGACCAGCTTGGTGAGGGGGTTGACTTCCCACTGGCGGTGTCCCCCAGGCAAGGTGACAAGTCGGATTGCACCTACATCGCGCTCAACGGGCGTCTCCGCTCCGTCATCCAGAAGGGCAGCGGCAAGAAGGAGCTCATCGGGGAGTACGGCCGTGGAGACCTCATTGGGGTGGTGAGACCCATAGCGGGGCTGGGGGATGGCCGCCATATATATCTGGCCGATAAATCTGGGCTACGTGTCTTCTTCTCCAGGTGGAAGCCCTCACCCGGCAGCCCCGGGCCACCACGGTCCACGCGGTGCGGGACACGGAGTTGGCCAAGTTGCCTGAGGGCACCTTGAACAACATCAAGCGCAGATACCCCCAGGTACCCCCAGATCCCCATCCTGGGGTCTGCACCCTCTTCGCGAGGAAGGAGCGTTGTCTCCGTGTCCTCTCCCAACCTGGTGGCTGCGGCGATGCTCGTTAAAAGCAGCTTAAATTAAGGAATTAAAGATGTGATTGGAGCTGTTGGTGGGCTGATGTGCTCAAGGGTGGTCCCTCTCTGAGGTTCCCCAAGGATGGGGGGTGGTGGTGGCACCCAAAAAGGTGTGTGGGACACCAGTCTGGGGTGTTAATGAGTCTCCAGCTTGGGAAGTCCTGCTGGGTCTGATGGCCATCCTCATCCTCATCCCTGCAGGTTGTCACCCGCCTCATCCACCTCCTGAGCCAGAAGATCTTGGGGAACCTTCAGCAGCTCCGTGGCCCCTTTGCAAGTAGGTCCCAAAGGGGTTGGGGACAAAGGGGTGGCCTCTCCAGGGCTGGTGGCCATCATCGGAGCAGGACATGGAAGGTGTTCATCACTCGTTGTGGTGTCCCCACCACTGCCACCGTGTTTCTGTCCATGCAGGCTCTGGTTTGGGGATGGCCTCCAGCTCGGAGCCCACCAACCCCACCAGCAACCTGTCGACGGTGGCGGTGCTGCCGGTGTGTGATGATGTCCCCACGGCTGCCTTCACGCTGGAGCTCAAGCATGCGCTCAACGCCATCGGTGAGTGCCAGCGTGGTGGTGACCACGGCGTGGTGACCGTGGAGGTGACCGTGGTCCTGTGGCACGCCAGTGACTTGGTGTGTTGGTGGCTGGAGTCACACGGCACGGTGGTGACCAGGGCATGGAGGTGACCGTGGTCCTGTGGCATGGTGGGCACCGTGGCATGGTGACCACCACAAGCCCCATGGCATGGTGATGACCACACCATGGTGTTCCACGGCATGGTGGCAACCACGGCATGGTGGCAACCACGGCATGGTGAGAACCATGGCCTGGCGATGACCAGATGCCATGGTATGGTGGTGACCAGGCCATGGTGATGACCACGCTGTGGTGGTGATCACAGTCCCATGGCATGGTGGCAACCACAGCATGGTGACAACCACAGGATAGTGGCAACTATGTTGCATGGTGTTGACCAGAGCCCCGGGGCATGGTGGTGACCATGCCGTGGTAGTGGTCACAGTCCTATGGCATGGTGGCAACCACGGTATGGTGGCAACCACGGCATGGTGATGACAAGAGCCCTGTGACATGGCAGTGACCACACCATAGTGGTGACCACAGCCCCAGGGCACACCGATGACCACGTCCCCACCTCTCCCAGGTCCCACGCTGCTCCTCACCAGTGACATCATCCGCGCTCGTCTCGGCTCCTCAGCGCTGGACAGGTAACTCCCGGCAGGAGGAACATCACCAGCGACCCACCACCATGCCGCTGGGTGACATCTCCATCTCGGCAGCATCCAGGAGTACCGGCTGTCGGGCTGGCTGGCGCAGCAGGAGGACATCCACCGCATCGTCCTGTACCAAACCGACTGCACCCTGACGCCGTGGACCGTGCGCTGCATCCGTCAGGCCGACTGCATCCTCATCGTCGGGTTGGGCGACCAAGAGCCAGCGCTGGGAGAGGTGAAGTTGGGCGGTGGGGTAGGCGATGGTGGGACCATCCCACGCCAGGTGGCTGATGGCTTCTACAGCTGGAGCAGATGCTGGAGAACACGGCGGTGCGGGCGTTGAAGCAGTTGGTCCTCCTACACCGTGAGGATGGTCCCAGCCCTTCCCGCA